CCCCAAAACCCCAAAACCCCAAAACCCCAAAACCCCAAAATTTTATATTATTTTTGAAATGATTTCATTTAAGCAAAAATTTGTGACTAGAATTTGAGCTAGTTATTACCAAAAGGCTATAATAAACACACCTCAGTATGCTTAGTTGCCATAATTTATTCTAGGTCAACTCCTAAAGGTGATCTCAAGACTTTAAGACTGCCTCTTGGACTACCTAAAGAGCTAGAGGAAATTAAGAGAAAAGTATTGGAGTCCAAAACATTTTACGATGTGCTTCAAACAGATGAGGGATTCCTGGCGCTTCAGAGTTTCTTAGTGTCTTACCAGACTATGTACCTTGACCAGTTTACCTTCCAGACAATGCTAGGTAACATCCTTGAGAATTATGATGAGTTTGAAGCCATCGAGATCTACGATATCTTAGAACCTTCAGGGGGAGGAGTGATCTCTATTAAGGAATTTTACGTTTTTATTCTCCTAGTCGCAGCTATCTGTGATGAAAAGTCTCTAGAATGCCTCTATCACCACACTCCTCTGATATTCAAGGTTATCTCAGGTGATCAGAAGTTCGTTAATAAAGACAGAATTGAGAGTATTTTGAGGATCGTTGGGTACGACGAAATCGAAGCGCAAAAGAAAATCGATACTTTTGGCTTTACAAATGAAAGCTTGGTTAATGAAGAAGACTTTCAATTACTGTTGTTCTCTATTTTCAAAGAGAATACATCAAATTTAAATGAGTTCGAAATGACACAGGAAGAAATTAAGATAGCTGATGAGGATATAACTGAATCTATGAGATTCGAAGAAATCAAAAATAAGTTAGAACTCAACTCTATTGATCAATCAGAAGGTCATGGCAAATAAGCCAATCGAAGAAGCTGATTTCGAAGATCCGTTTAATGACATGCATTCGCCCAATGAAGACCTAGCAGGACGGAAAGAGCTGACTAATGCTCCACTTAATAATCCAGATTATGATTCCAACCCTTATGGAACAAAGGCTTATTGAACATCGAAGGGCGGCCACAATTTATCGAATAATACTCTCCTTAATAAAGGCAAGAAGAGTGGTAATCAAAAGTCTATAGATCCCTATGCTGATCCTCAGTTTGAGAATGGAGCATCTTATCGTTCCAAAAGTCAGAGATCCAAAAGTCATATCTCTCGTGAGAGCATACACAGTAAGACAGAAGGGCAGATCCAGACTAACACTCAGACAAGAGATGAGACTTATTGATGAGGTAAGAAGAAATGAATTATATTTTAAAATTTTCAATTTTCTGAACCTTCAAAGGGGTTTTGGGGTTTTGGGGTTTTGGGGTTTTGGGG